TAACTATATTTGAGGAATGGCATGCTCGAGAGGTCAGGTTCGGGCTCAGCCGAAAGGGTCTTCGCCTGATCTGAATTCAGATACGTCAAGCAGGTTTCCGCTATTACCGAGTCAGCTCGCGCGGAAACGTTGGGATGGGTCGAAAGGTGTTCTCGGAGTGTGTGATGAATCAACCGGACAGTCGAGGCTTTCTTATCCACAGTGACTAGTCCTTGACAGCAGGCGAGCAATGTCTCTATAGCAGGGACACTGTGTGTATTGAAATGTGCAGATCCAATCTCGACACCAAGCGCATGGCAAAGTTCATCCACCTGTAATGGCCGCTCTGAATGACATATCCACATTAACGTGGTCATAGCAAACTTTACTTTCTCCCCGTGTTGGGTCCTTATCCGTTCCAGTGTTGTGTCAAATGCCTCTCCCAACCCTAACCCATACTCCATCGTGTGGAGTCTCTTTCGCCTCCTATGGATTGTTGTTTCTCCCAGGATTGCCCCCATCTTGAGTGAAACCATTAGGAATCTATATTTGTATATATCAGTATATAACTTTGAAAGATTTTTCCGGACCCTGTGCCACCACGTACGTTTCCGAGATACCTCCGGGAATGCTCTTCATAATATCATTCTCCAATTCACTATCCATCACCTCAGGAGTTGTGTCCGTCCTCAGTCTCGAGTGCAGATATGTGGCTATATCACGATCCCCGGGCGTTATCGATACACTCGCCGCTCTCCCACCCAGCTCCTTCTCAACCGCCTCCCGGATGTGTGACCTTCCGGTCAGGAACATTCGAGTGCTTGGAGACCTCCGGAGAATCTGTCCTAATGCATCAAGAACTTCGCGTTGGTTTTTTTGAACACATTCGCCCAAAGCGTCAACACATAAATGTATGTCGGGAAGATGAAACATTCGGAAACATGTTTACGATATCGAGGAGTTGTAGTCCGCGGCCACCAATTACCTTCTTCTGGCCCCGAAATTTCTGCACGATTTCCACAGGAATTGGTTCTAACCCACTCAGAAGCTGTTTGAGTAGGGAACCGAGCATATTTGTCGGAGACTGCTCCTCCCGGGAAGCGAAGTCGTAATAAAAACATGCCACCGCCATATCTTGTTCCATAGCTTGGTCGCATAAATAGTCTACCACCAAGGAACTACCACCGCGACCCGTCAACAATAGTGCCCTTTTTCTGTCCCTCATTGGTTGTCTCTCATACCTAATGTAGCTCTTGCCGACCCCCGGATCACCATAGCAGAACAAGGCCCCACAATCAGATTCTTCTTTCCCACTACCATTATACCAGCTTCTGAACTCTTTTTTTTTTTCAGTAGCCACTCTCCCACACCGCCTATCCGTTGATTTCGGATGTCTTGATGCCGCACCTGGGGCTCTAAAGGAGACAACCAGGCGAGGATTTTGGATTCATCATCGGCAGCAGTAAAGATAAAGTTATTTGACACATTGAAAGAATTGACGTTGTTGGTAAAGGCTCGAGACATCGTTCGCCTTTTCGATACTTGGAAGACTATAGAGAGTCCTCGAGTAAGTTGTTGAAGAATATCGGGTTGATTGATAAAGCGCCAGTGGGTCTAGTCCAGAGTAGTGTGGTAAAAGCGGGGTTCATCTCTCAGCCCCATAACTACAGAATGGTAAGCCAATCAACGGACCGGGGACTTGTGAAATCTCAACTGCTCCCCGTTGCACCACCGGGACCAAGGCCCTTGAAGAGACGCTAAATTCACATTTCTCTCACAAATGCATCCCAAGTTATCATACATTACCATCCGGATTCACGAACGGGGAGTATCCCAAACCCCCTCTCGCACTACCCCAAGCACCGCACTGGAGTGATAGTCTAAGTCAATCTCTATGTCTAAAGATTTTCCCTCGGGTTGTAATCGAACGCTGTATTATACACTACCAGCCACGAAACACATAATTTACCAAGCCTTGATTGAACAAGATCACTATTTTACCATGACTTATTGTATGGCACAATGCTCGCAGAGCAGCACAATATCCCTTCAATACCAAAAAATACACAATACCCCTTCCCCATTCTTCACACTCGAGTACAAGTGTACAAGACATAATCGCGCCACCCATAACGTTCAACACAATCACGAGAACCTTAAAGAGGGAGGAAGATAAACAGAACCACCCGAGGGCCCACCCGGGAGTGGACGAAATCCTAATCGAAATCATATCCGTGAAGAAAAGAGTAACGAAGCCAACGCAGAAGGGGGAAAAAATGGTGACGGTATCATACTGTAGCAGGGGGCAAGAGGTCCACCATATAGAGGAAGACGTATCACACGAAATCCCACGAAAACTCGCGCGTCCGCAAAGCACACCCGCGTTGCCCAAATCATGCTGTCCCGGACGCGCAACGCTCAACACGAAAACTCATATCTAAGTTACCCCACGTCGCGCTTCCCGCTTAGGCGCAGACCAAATTCAACGAGTACCACGATATGACAAGGGAGGAACCAAGCAATTATCAGAGAACACCGAAAACCCCTCCACGCATGCACATCCAAACACACACACACAGCAAATCCCACCCTTCCGGAACAACTCTCAAAGCTCCTGCAACAATCCCCCGCCCAGTGAACCCACCCGAATCTCCCACTCCCAATGAGAAGGACTAACGATGATGGCGAGTGAGATACCATGACTCCCACCCCGCACCCCTGCATAGCCCTCCAAACCAACACAAAACAATTCACCATAAACCCCGACCACTCACACCACTCCAACCGTGAGCCAGAACCCTAGTCAAAGCCTCTCCATAGGACCGGTATCATATCAGACAAGCGTGAAACAAGCTCACAAACCCAAACCCCCACAACACTGAAGGGAGTTAAATCAAGTGATATTCCACGAACCCGCCCGAAAACAATCGCGCCTCCCGCTACTTGTAGGACGCCGGGGTCACCTTCGCTAGGGTCGTAAGGCCGTGACACCCTTCCACTTTTTGCTTCTAGGGCCAGTTTCCGCAGTGTTTTTAGCCCACCCCGTGTCCAAGAGAGGAGCGAGGTTCAATTATTTCGGTTCTCATGGTGCGCGGGATGGGGGCATACTTTGGAAAGAAAGATTGCGTTGGGCGATCACTAGGCTTGGCTCCCAATCGTGTTTCAATCCGCAGGTGGTGGGGTGCCTGTCTGTCTGTCTGCCCGTCTATCCGTCTCTCTAGGATAGACGATTCGGCCCCGAAAGCCAATTGCCGGGGGTAATAGATATGATGCAACGCTGCAGACATGGTATCGTATTGTACTCGTACTGTTCCGCTCGATGAGATCGTACTACCGAGCTTGTGAGATCGCCACGACCTATTTGTCCCTTGCAGAACTGCACCCGATGAGCATCTAAATTTATGATACCAATAATTAACACAGTGTAGATGGGCAAGCGATAGATGCACTCAATAAAAGGTGTTATTATTAATCTAATAATATAATTCGCAACTTGATTCCATAAACACTAAAGGTTTGTCCATAGTGATAGTAGTGATTTATGCAAAGAAAAAAGTTGGCATGATAAGGTACCGAGTTTTTGGATAAAAATGAGGTAAAAAAGAAATGATACAAAAGGAAAAAAGAATAGGGGAAAATAAAATAACTCGACAAAAACAAAACCCCTGAGAAGCGATGATATGCAGGCTTTTCCGGTCTCTCGTTTATGATTCGGGGATTTCACCCGGTACAGTACATCGTGATAAAAAAGTGCAAATAATGGAACAAAAAAAGGAAACAAGTAATCATCGCCCATGTCTTGCAGTAATACCCATCCCATTGGTGATGAGGAGCAAAAGCTCTGTACTTCGCGCCTAGAACATACACACCGATTCCCATCCACCCCATACATCTATGTCCCGCCCCCACCCCATACCCTGCCTCTTCTAATTCAAAACCTGAAGTTCCAGTCGCCAACAGCCCAATAAAACTTCGAATAAAAACCCGGAGCAGACGTGGCGGAGAACGAAAGCCTGACAAAAGGCCATCCATCTAATGTGTCGCCCCAGAACGCTAATACCAAATGCAGGAGGAAAGACAATAAACAAACAATGCTAAAATCAAATATATATGTGTATATATATATATATGCAAAATGGAAAAAACGACGCTCATTCCAGGAAATATACAGATGTGCGATCCTCATGATATTGCAGACAATGAAGGATGTTGTGTCCTTGTCTGGCTACGCTGGAAGTCATGGTGCTTCCTTGCCCAATGCGTACAGTGATAGCTCCTCCAGTAAAAACGAAGACAAACGAAAAGCAATAAATCAAACACGCAATAAATACAATGCTAAAACCCAAGATGCGCCCCGTTTCGCTACCGACCAAAACCATTTTCTGCAAAAAATAGAAAGTGCAAATGGAGAAAATGCGCTAAGAATATATGCTGCACCAGGCGGGGGAATATGAACAAGTAGGGACTGAGGGGACTGTGTTGGAGTATATGTGATGCAAAGCGTTTGAGTGAAGGGTGGTTACCACTAGAAGGTAGTATCCAAGTATCATATGATGAGGTATTAATCCCATATTATGGAACCCGAAAAAAATATTTAAAGCAAAAAAGTATCGAACAGGCCCGAGAACTGAACCGCAGCTCTTCATATACAATTTTGCATATTTATAACCAATTACCCTCACAAGTAGAGCATCACAGGATGAAACGCTTTGCATCATACCAACCAGTCCAGGGTCGCGTATAACAGCACTATCGTGATGGTAGCGGTGATGATAAAAAAAAAAGGGAAAACTCCGTCCCAAAGAGAGAGTAGCAGACGCTCGCTAAAGACGATGGACAGGCCGACTGTAAAATACTCTCGGTTGCTGAAGCTTGGTTAACCGACAGATGTAGATGATTGGCCGACCGAGAGTGGTAGACCGGACAAACGTGTATTAAAAGGAAATCCCAAACCAACGCTCCATAAACCCAAACGGAATGGTCATAACTGTACTTGAGCGTCGTGCAACGGCGCCGAATTCTTAGTAGGAGACCATCCTTCTTGTCTCGGAACGTTGCCGAGAACCGAAAGATGATTCCATTCCCTCCTTCGAACATCCACCGGTGGAACGCTTTCCAAAGTTGGCACTTGGGCTACTCTCGACATTATCGTGGTGGTGAGACCCAAAAGTAAAGCTTTGTGTGCGCCCAAACTTGGTATTCCTGCGGAATTTGCCCATTTCCTTCTCACACGCCTGGCGATGGGACGCATCATTCATCTCAACATATTGCTGAGGCTCACATCGCTCATGGTGTTCCTGGAAAAAGGACGAATATCCGCCATCAAGGATATACACGTCAGGATAGAATAGGGCAGGATAGCGGTGCATATTTAGCTGTCTATCGCGGCTTCGGAGGTGGAGAGCCCTAACACAGAATTAGCGAACAGTTACGAATGGGTGAAACCAGGACTCAACATACATTCTAGGCGCGCGATGAGCAGAATATTCGCAGTGAAAGACGATGAGAACCCTTTCTGTTTTTGGTTCATTAAAAAATAGTTTCTCCAAATTCTCAGTAGAGTTGACGTTGATGGCACCAGCAACGTGTCCGCCATCATACTCATACTCAAAACGACAGTCAACAACGAAGATCTCGTCATAGTGTTCCTTATATTCACCATCCATGACCCGGCACATGACTGATCTATTGATACGCCTCAAGGGATCATCCTTGATGGTAAAGCAAGGAAGGGTTGAATTCTCGCCTGGTGATGCCTTGGGTGGTGACATGGAAACCTTAGGCGTCTCCCCGGCGCGTTGCATAACATCTTCAGGGTGCTCGAACATGCTCAAAGTGCGTCTAACTTTTCCCTTAGGACGGTTGAACTTGGGGCGGTTGAGGGGAGCAACTGGTGAGCCGTCAAAAGCGAAATTGCTTCCACTGTTTCCCACAACGTTCGACATAGAAAAGGGCTTCGCCGGCGGCGGAGAAGCCATGATACCAGGAAACCCAATCTTCTTCTCATCCCGTGTGGGGGAATCACCAAAGAGTTCCTCCAATTTTATCTGAGGAGCAGTAGCAGCTCTACCGAAGAGCGTGGGTGTGCTGTGAGAGCTAGTAGACTTGAAGGAGACGCCTCCAGATGTGTGGCGGCTGTGCCTCGGCAATGGAGGTCGTGTAAAGTTTGATCTCTTGCGTCTATAATAGTCAGCACCGAAGCGTCACAACAAACGCAAGCAACACATACTCAGCGAGCCCTGGTCTCCTTGACGGTGGGTCGTTTCGAGGAAGCTCGGGAACGACACTTGGCGGACTCGAACATATACTCATGCTCAAGTCCGGTGTAGGAGACATAGGAGTACGCATTGCCTGAAACGCGGGTTTGTGGGGCAGAGGAGAAATATCCATAGCATCACCGATTGGCGATGAAGTAGGAATTGGAGGCGTTGTGACAGACGCTACCAGGGTTAGCTAAAGTATCATGACAAACTGCAAATAGCACTCACAACGCCCGTGAAGGCCAAATGGGAAGAGAGAACGTCTAGGTGTTGGGTGCTGGGGCCTGTCTTGACGTTAATGATCCTAAAATTCCTGATAAATGGGCAATCCATCGGAATGGTACAAACGTTTTGTCAATGTGGAAGTTCTGCGACAGGTCCGCAACCAGACTCGATGTAGGGGATGATTCTAATCGAGAACCCAAATCGAAATAACTCGTGCCCTCCATTCCCGACCTCACATTTAATTTCGGCCCGAACAACGAATCCGAAATATTGGAGGAAACACCCCGGCGAGGAGATTTTGATGGGAAGCCTCCGCTCGCCAATGACCATGGCGAGCGGTGGAACGAAGGTGGTTGTAACGCAGCTAAGGGGGATGACGCTTCAACTTCCATCTTGAAGATTGGAAAATTTTTTCTCCGAAGTCGATTATTGTTAATAATAATGAGTCGACAGAGAAAGCACTGGGCAGCCCGGAACCGAGGTTTCCACGGTGAGATATGTAACTATCAGACGACTACACAGTGATTTTTGGTATTCGACTGCAAAACCCTTTGCCCTATTGTAACCGAGCAACAAATGGCCAGATAATACTCCGCAATCCACTTTGTCTCTCTCTTTTTTTTTTTTTTTCGCCTTCTCTTCCCTCCCACTTTCTCTCTTTAATCCAGCAAATTCTATCTTCGACGCGGTCCGAGCACGTTTCGTCAATAATGTTTTATTATGCAACTAAGCAAAAATAATAAGAATTCCCAACCGGACGGTCGATGCAAGATCTCTACCGATGAGGGGGAATTGATGTGTAGACGAGCTGGATATATCGACTTTGAGATGAGGTGTCGTCGATGGAACAGCAGTGCGGGCTGACTATTGCTGGTTAGTGAGGGGGTGGTTGTCGAAGACGAATGGTGAAGCAAGAGAGGAAGAGAATTAGAGGAGGGGGGGGGGATGAAATAAGAGAAAGCAGATGGTTGACTCGAAACTGTGGGTGGAGACCAGAAAGCTGAGAAGTGCTTCTGTACGAGTACTAGTACAAGTACAACATGAGCCTCGCGTCGTTACTGCGGCGACAGCGCTCGGCCTTCGTTACAGTTCAGGATAACAGGTCAACCATGCATTCACCTTGATTGGGCAAACAGGAGACTGTGGCTCGCAAGCTCTCGCTGAGTCGCCAAGGCTGTCTTCCTGGCCGTCACCTTCTGTCTTTCACCATTCGTTCGCCGGTTGGGGGTCGTTCCTCTGCGGCACCTGCATGCATAAGTATGCGATTGCTCTGCAGTTACCAGGATCTCAGTGAATCCGATAGGACAGCGAAGAAATAGTAAGGGCGGGGGTGGGGTGTTGGATGGGTAATTGATGGTCTCACACCCCTGCAAATTTCGATGTCTTGTCCTCCTCTCCCACAGCCAGACCAGTGAGACAAGCATCACGAAGCAGTTTGGTAGAGGATGCAGGAGAAGATACAGTACCGTATGCTATCCGCGAACTACTGCTACGAGTACTATACGAGTACTTGTACTGTACAGGTATAATTTACTGGAGTACGAGTACAATGCGAGCACTCTGGTGAGCGCGATGATTGTTGGCTTGAGCGGATATGGTGAGAGGGGAGCGGGGGGGTGTTCGTTGCGAGGTAAAACTTTCCAATTTCTGGTACATTGAGGGCCATATTTCTCATCCAATTGAGAGAATAACTCAACCACAGGATCAACTGACAAATGCGGTGATTAATATGTCCAAGACAATTTCTAAATAGAGGCATATTGCTTCCAACCGTGCTACCCAAAACGGGAGAATTCGGCAAACATAATCACCATAAATATGTGGAGTGGTACAGTTTTGAGTGCCGCACTGCAGCAGCAAGTGGAACGCGTTCAATGAACACGCTCACATGTGACATGTCGCGAGGGAGAATCCCACCCATCATGGTGACCAGAAAGGAAAGAGCGACCACCGAGACAACCCAACGCCAACCATTCCGCATAGGGTACAAGTACTCGTACTAATATCATAAAGGCAGAAGTGTAACTTGTGTTTACACATTATTGTTTTCCCCTCTCGCCGCCAAAGGATGAATAAGGTGAACAAGACTAGAAACACACCGATACCTGGAAAGGGACTACATAAGGATTCGTCTCCGGCTCTGGAGCCCTTGCTTGCTCACATCATAAGTCCCTATTTGTGGATTTACGGGCTACGAGAAATCCGAAACACCAGCCAACTGATAACCCAATGCCCAACCGGAGTGCTCGAGTACCTGGAGGAGATGCGGTAAGAAATGTTGCAGGGGTTACTTGTGGCACAGGACCTTCCCCCGGCGATTCTACTCGAATAGATAGAGACAGGGTTGTTTATTCATTGGAAATAAACATTCGCCTTCGTCACATAGTTGGGACTTCCGTACTTGTACTGTATTATATTTCATCATGATAATTCCCTCCGAAAACCTGCTGCCGTAGGAGGTTTTCCCCCCGTGGATCTGCTGTTGCTTTACTCGTTTTTCCGTCGTCATCCTCACGCAATCCTTACAGTATGATGGTGGATAGATCGTGCTCCACCTCTAAAGCTTATTGGCCCTTGCTTGCTTCTTTTCACCACCCCCCCCACCATCACTTATGAGAAAGAAGTTAGGATCTATTTATGCCCGGCGGACCTCACCGCAAATAACACTACGAGTACTAGCTGCGAAGGTCGGTCCCTTCCCTCTTTCCCTCCCTCTCCACCTTTCTTACTTCTCCCGCCTTGCTTGCTTTCCCGCTTTCGAATTGTATTTTTTTTTTTTTGGTTTGCTTGCTAAAATAGGGTCACCCTATTTTATGGTCGGTACCTTACTCACGGTGCATAAAAAACTACGTTACGGTGGAGGACGAAGGGAACTCCTCGAAGGAAAAAGAAAAGAAAAGAAAAGAAAAAACCTTTCCCCCTAGAAAAATTTCATGAATACGCAAACAGCCGGCCCCTGTCAGATTTTCATGCTTCAGTATCCACAACCAGTAAAGAGAGAGTTCAAGCTGCTAATAGCGGAATGGCCAGAGCGGCTAACCGCTGCCGGCAATCTAGCGGGAAGAATCTAACGGAAAGAAGGAAAGATAAAGGGAAAAAAAAAATCAGAAGCAGCTGAGTGAGGAGGATATTGATTGATTGCTGGCTGATTGCTGCTCCGGTAACTAGAGCAACAACAGAAAATGTCCCCGGCAAGCGTTGGGCTGGGTTGGGCCGGATCACCTCGTTGATTGATCGATTGATTGAAACGATTGATTGAGAAGGGAACAACGAATGAGCACAAGGAAATTACGGTACTTCAAATCTTGAGTACATGAAAAGCTAGCAAACCTATCGTGAGAAATACCTCTCAAAGGGTTCTCGCACTGGCATGGTGCGAGTGCTTCAACCTCTTGGCTTGATCATAGTCGATGCTGGACAAGCTTCATCATGATCACTACCGTGCTCTAGGGGAACCGGCAGGGCTGAATTAACTGCGGCAACGGATGTTAGTTAAACTGGTTTTAGCCTTGTCTCAGGCCCCATGTCATATCGTCGGGGAAGAGGGAGGGGTGGGGTGGGGTTGGGCGGGTGTGATAGGTTTTTTTTTTTCTTCCGGTGGCCGGCGCTCTATTTGTACAGTAAACAACACGCCCTCAGCTCCCTTCTCGGACACTCTACGCGCAGTCATGTGACTTTCCGCTAAGGCGTTTTGGGATATTTCGCATCACAACAACTCAAGCCATCAGACAGGACAACCATGATCGAGGTTGGTTTGGAACGAAGGCTTAAAGTACGGCTATTCATAGGAATCGGTATCAGATATGGTATCGGGTTGTCCAACCGTTTTTTGCTTGGGGACTGATTCATTGATCACATTGCACCTTTATCTCACCCTCCTTGACATACCATATCACTATCCATCTATCATAATATGCGCTCAAATAGCCACGATGCAGCCCAATTGACTATTTCCCGTTGGGGCAATGGGCATGAGACTAAGCGGCCTAATGTTATGGCAATCCAAAAAGTAATAACAACAAACTGCACTGGCATCTCCGTCTACAAAAGGCGACTGGAGGAACCCCGTGCATGAAATGCGGCATCGTGAGCAAGCGAGGACCGCAACCCATCCCAAGTGAATGCCCCGCACCACTTCGACCTCACAGTTACAGATCTGATCCTCCGCTTCGGGGTTGGGTGGAAGGGGATAGAGGTCAGATGCTCACGTGTTCGACGACGGGGCTATTACCTGGGCCAAGTTAGAAGTCGTGGCTTTGCCGCATTATTCTCTTCCTTCATCCTCTCTCCCTCAGGCTTGCGCATACAAACCATAACCTCGAAGTGGCCAAGGCAGGTAAAAACCCGCCGTATGGTGGATGAAAAGGCCTGAGCCCTCTCCATTTTTATTTTGTTTGTTCCCCAACCCATTGGCCAGTCTGTTTGCGCAACGCTCAGGTTCTGCACATAACAGTACGCTTTCCTTGCCCTCACAAAGTAACTTGCAAGTGTCATGGGCCGCGACGGAGCGAAAAAAAAAGGGCAATGTTTGGATGACGGGATACGCCCCTCAACCCTCTGGTTTCCACAACAACAGAGCATTGAGCCTCATGGAAGGGCAGAGGCAAAGTCAAGGAAAAAGGACAAAAAGGCATACGGTAATCCCGTTTCATAGCACCCTGGACCCCCAAGGTACAGTACGGTATTGGAGTTTCACATAAAAAATGGCTGGGAAACCACTCAAAACACCGGAGTAAACCCGGCGATCATTCTGAACCCCACAGGAGGACAGGAAGGGAAAAGGGTGCCTCAAATTTTTTCACGGGGGCACTCGCTCGTATCTCCCCGCAACCTTTTCTTCCCCTTTGCGCCTTGTTAAAAATGGAAAAATGTAAACACTCCACCCCCCCTCCTTTTTCCTAATGGTCGACGGCTGGTCACGGTACTCGTACCATTTACCCCCCTGTCTTCTTCTCGTCTCTACTTTCTTTCCCCCCGGCCGACCTTAGGGATTGCTTAGGGATTGATTACCGTATGAAACTTGGGGAGCCCCAAGATTTTCACACATAACACACTTAATAGGGCTTTGAAGTTCGAGAATGTCATGAGTGCGGCTGCTATTGCTGTGCCATCATAAGCACCGGTCCGACGGCCTACAATGACCCTAGATCTGGAGGGGAAGAGAAAAAAACTCAGAGGCAAACATCAGCCTACTGTGAGCAGGTTGTACCGGTAAGCCCCTAGGAGAAGTTCGTCCGCATATTATTAGCAGGCGGTCTCCTGCCGTGTGATAGTCCCTTCCCAATCGCCCTCACCCTCCGGCAGCCCGGTTTGGCGCTTTCGCTTACGGTATTACTCAAGTACTTACCGCACCGGTATCTGCTGTTTGCTTGCGTGCTTAATTGATGATATACCCCCTTCCCCATACAACAGTGATATACACTCTTATATACTGCCGTAGTATCATACACTGTAAGGCAAGGCCTTCCTCTCCCCCTCTCCTTCTCCTTCTCACTCCTCCCTGGTACTAGTACAGTACTTGTCTTTGACAACTCACCGACGAAGCAATCTCCCGTAAAATTACCGATTGCATGATATGGGTAACGAGGGCGAGAAGAAAAGAAAAAAGAAAAGAGAAGGCTTGTCATTATTCCTGTGTAAACCGAGCTCGTCCTCTGTCCTATCTTTTGGCATTCCGTTGCCGTGGGGCGGCGCGGGCGGAGAGATGGTACGGTGTGCGGGTTAACTTCCGGCGTTCAGAGCAAGAAAATTTTGCCCCAAGACGATGGCTGGCCAGTTCCGCTGCAGGTCTCGAAGTTTTTTTTCTTTCTTCCGTCCCATGTCGTGGCAGAAAGAATACTATACTATTGTTGTTATACACCCGAGCATAAACCTAGTCTGGTCTAGTTTACCCTACTTTAAAAGTCCCTTCCCGTTACCGTCGGTAGCGGAGAGAGCAGAGCAAACTTTGGACGAACTGAGCAAAGGACGGAGAAAAGGGGACCACGTCTGGGGGGGGGGAGAAAATTCTTCACTTCAGTAACTTACGTGTATCATACAATTTCGCTTTCCCTTCCTTTCATGATCCGGGTTCATGGGAATTGGGTTTGCTCGAGCTTTCTCACTCGCTCGGTCGCTCGGCCTCATTATGTTTCTCCGACGTTTCCTGGGTCCTCGAGAGGTGCAGGTCTGATGTTTTTGGGTGGACACGGACACGCTATGATACCTACTATGAGTACTAGTACAGTACAAGTACCGGTACCGCGTGAATTACAGATCCAGATCCCGCACGCGGAATTACCGATGATCCTCTAGACTTGATACGGTAGGATATTTATGCTCCGGACCCTTCTTGTTGTCGGGACGACTCTCTTATGATATCTCTATGATGCTGTAGTGAGCGTTGGATGATACTTGGACAAACCCAAAGCGGGAAAAGGAGAAAGAAGCCAAAGCTAAAGAAAAGCCACAACACCCTATTCCTGGGCTGAACGCCGCACCGTACCTTGCCTTACGAAGGGTCGAGGCTCAAAATTTTTTTTTTTTTCATTGTCAACGGATAAGGAAGGAAGGAAGGTTCACCTTGCCGGCAGCCTACACTATCTACTGCAAGTTCACGTACATGCAGCGTTTTCTCCCCACTGTTATTATCCTTTTCTGGAATGGCTTTCTCTTACGTACTTGTACAAGTTCATCGTGCTTATTTGCTACTATGGTGCTCCCGAGATTAGACTTTTTGGGCCGACGGGTTGGACAACTCATTGATTGATCTGGGATTCCAGCGCTAGGGTGCTGGTGTTGTGCACGCATGTTGGGTACGGGAAGGAAGATGGATGGGGTGATGATGATGATGATGTGGTATGTATTACAATTCATCGGTGGAAAGGGGAATGTATTGTGCCAGTGAGGAAGGATTGACGCTGATGGTGTGTAAATTTAAGTGAGCAGGTAGGCCGGACGCCAGCATGGCGAACAATCTCAACCTCAATCTCAACATAGAGTACCGGTACGGTAACGGGTGGAATGAAGGAAGACTTACTACCCTGTTTCGTGGGAGGTATAATTATGACGAACGGTAATATACAAAAAAAAAAAAAAAGGAAAAAGGAAAATAAAGGAAAGAAGAGGAAGAAGGGAGACAAACGAAAGGGGCAAACATTAGATTGTGTATATCCTCCGACATATTAGGGGGATTGCTGGGGAAGGAAAGGAAGGGGGGGGCAGGGAATGCAATAGCGCTTATTCCGTATCCTTCCTCCCATTTTCCTCCTGTCATGAACGAACCACCGACTCCACCCCCTTCATATCCATACCCGCCGTGTTGGAACAGCACCGGCATCATACATGATCTCTCTATTCATTCGCTAATCTTGCTTATTCTTGTTCCGTAGTCTAGCAAATACCCTCCTCCACCGAACCTCCCGGAAGAGATAGTAAAGCACATATACCAGAAAGATATTGCTAAATATATAGGCACAAAATATACCCAAATCCCGCCAATGCGTCGAGTACCTATTCCCGTTATCAACACGGTTCCATATTAGGTGGGGGGGGGGCATACTTCATCTCCAAAGTCTCCAAAAACTCATCGCCAACTTTATACCGACAATACCTGCAATCCTCCCTCGCTTCCAAATTCGCGATAGTCCCATAGGCACTTGAGATCCACTCCCCAGCGTACTCCCCGCATGTCTGTCCGCTGGGCGGTTGGAAGGTGACCCATTCGTTATCGCTGCAGGAGACCGGGATATTATGTAGTGATGTTGATATCAAGCCTCTGATCAACCATGTCTGCGGATTCACCCAGAATAGCCACCTCCTGTAGAATTCTGGGAGTTGGTCGTACGGGACGAAAATTCCGACGAAGCCGTTGATTACTACGAAGATGAAGGGGTTTACTATTGTGCGTTAGCAAAACCACAGCCCTGCTCCTGTCCATTACGATACGTACCAACGCTCATCACCGTCAAATCCTTACACATGGCCGCGATCCACATGGCCGCGTGCGGGATCCATATCTCGTAGAGCATGAGCATGAAGAAGGCGTACCCGGTGGAATGAGAGTCACGGGGCAGTCCCTCCATATACCACCACGGAAAGAAGAACACCAGAGCCCCTAATATAGCGTATGGGATCTCGACTACGATCATGGCCGTGATGAATGCCGAGGAGGAGTATATCCTGCTATTCCGCTCACGCGTCTCGTATAGTGTGCGGAATTCCAGGAATTTGGGTTGTACCCCCGTCAGGATCATTTGCGAGAAGTGCACGATAGCGTAGACCCCAAAGGCCCGGGATTGCATTTCCTGCACTGTGTTTCCGGAGTTTACGAATCTGTTGATTCATGTATGTTAGATAGGGAGGGATATTAAAAGGAAAGATGGCATTAAACGAATAACTTACAAAACACCGCACAAGAGCGACATGCTCAAGTTGGAGAACATTTTGGAATAGCCGTAGGAAGCGTCCCTCCAGTAGTGCAGCCATACCCGCTTCGTGACTTCAAGGATTTGAGTGCTCAGCGGCATGGCGTACTCCAGAGTTCTATTCTGCTGTTCAAGGTTTAACATGGATCTGCTACTGTTGATGCTCTCAATCTCTTTAACTACTGCCAGGGCCTCCGGCGAGTCCTCCCATATCTCTGCCCAATTGCGTGGTCCTGGGGCTCGACGAATTGTCTTTTTTTATCTCTTAGTCTTCACCTATCCATCACTCGGACTTGTGACTTGGGGGGAACCCACCTCGAGGATATATTCCGCGGGGTTTGCATCGGGGGCAGCCTTCGGCGCACCGTTACGCTCAAAGTATTCTATAATCGTAGTCCCGTTGTCACCGATGGGTCCGAAGTAGACCTCCTCACCACCGGTGGTGAGGAGCAGCACGTTGTCAAAGTCCTCGAAGAGGATAGCACTGGGTTGGTGAATGGTGCAGAGGATAGCCAACCCCGCCTCGTCCGCCAACTTTTTAAGAAACCTCACAATGGAGGAAGCGCCCGTCGAGTCTAATCCGGACCTGCTCACCCAAACCTCCCGAATCAGTAAAAGAAGAAAATAGAGCGAGGAAGAAAGGAAGAAAGGAAAACGCTACGTGGGCTCATCCAAAAAAAACAAGGCCTCAGGCCTCGCTGCCAGTTCCACCCCAATAGTGACTCTCTTCCTCTCCTCGACCGTAAGTCCCACACCCACCTGCCCGATCAACGCATCGGCCAACCCCTCCAACTCCAACAGCCCTATAATCCGTTCCACGAGAGCGTACTTTTCCGCCCGGGATGTGGTAGCCGGTTGGCGCAGCATGGCGGAGAACCTGAGCGCTTCCCGCACCGTCGCCGTCCAATCGTGCACATCCTGCTGCTCGACGAAACCGGTGCACCTGCCAAAGTCCATGCCGAGCTGCCTCCCATCCAGTAGGAACTCCCCACCTACGACGCCGACGCGCTTCCGCTGGGAGAGGGTGTCGAGCAGCGTGGTCTTGCCCGCCCCGCTGGGTCCCATCAGCGCCGTCAGCCTCCCCGGTTTCACGTAGCCGGTTATGTTGTTCAGCAGGTGCCGCTGGTTCACCGTGTACGTCACGTCCCTCCAGGTGTAGCAGGAGCCGCCGCCGCCTTGGGCTTTGTCATCGTCGCCGTCGGTGGTTTGGGAGAATCTGCTTTCCAGCGCCGGGGGCTCCGCCCGGGTTTTCGGAAGGAGGGGGGGGCGTGGGGGATCGGACGGTTCGTTCCGGTTCCTCGGCCGTTTCGTGTACTTCCTTGTGGAGGTTCCGGAGACTCCATATTCTAGGAATTCAACGCCTATGAGCGCTATTATCAGGTAGCCGGCCGTGAAGGCTAGTACTATGCCGAAGTTGCGCCAGACGTGGGAGCGCGAGTAGCCCCAAGCCGCTTGTAGGAAGTCAGTGCCCGAGATGAATTCTGTGCCCTGTTCGGAGCCGGCTAGTTGGCAGACTAGGGTCATGGATCAGCACTCGGCCCCGGTGTGTGTGTTAAGGGGGAAAACCTTTGTTTGCGACGCTGGCGGATGGAATGTCGGGGATTAGTTGGTCCTCCGAACATCTGATGAATACACCTTCTAGTTGGTTCACCATTAACGCTTCTAGACAGTATGTCAGCGGTTGGGCCCAGTATATCCATTTGAATACCCAGGATTTCATGTTCCCCTCCGGCTGCAGGTATCCTGTGAAGAAGATCATCACGTGCAGGCCGAAGAAGGCGGTTCGTATAGCGGCGTTGAGGTCTCTACTGAAGGCTCCAACGGCACGGTTAAATGCTGTCAGACAGACGGTGCAAGCCTACAACTATCAGTATACCGAGTATCCCAGGACTATGGAAAGTAGACTCACAAACACGAACAACAGGTTCAAAAAGAACTTGCCGGCGTTCACTTCCAAGCCCGCCATAAAGTACAAGACGACAGTGTAGAGCGAACACTGCACCATCAAGATCGGCAAGTCCACCAAAGACTTTGCCAGCACGAGTGCGGACGGGCGATAGAATGCGAAGGTGGTGTGCTTCGAGGTGATGGATCGACCAACGGTCATGTCGATAGCCTCGTACATCTGCATCCATCCGATCACGACAATATTGAAGAAGAGGGTTCCCCCGATCTCGAAAGTGCCCTCGGACGTGCGATCGATCCCGAAGAAGAGACTGCCGATGATGAGCGCTAGGACGAGAGTGTTGAAGAACCGACTGCTCATGGCGACCTTGTCCTGGAGACGGAGTTGGAAGTCCCGTTTCGTGAGGTACCATATCTGTCGCGGTAGCGATACCACATACGGACTTCCCTTCCCACTTCGCCGTGATTTATCCTGCTTCACGGCGTCGCGGAAGTCGCGTGCGTCACGACCGGATCGGAGTTCCTCGTCGTAGGCGGTCAGTTCCTCCTGCAGGGCTGTCCAGTGGGTGCTGCTCTTGAAGGCAGCTTCTAGCTCTCGGGGGGTTAGCGGCGTCTTGTCCTCCCAGCCCGGCTTGATCTTGCGCTTGTTCGGGTCCGACACGCTGGTTAGGAAGTCCGCTGTTGTGCTCCGCGGGTTCCGGTGGAAGCCGAGGGACTCGAAGTATTTGGTCGCGGAGGATCCACGGCCGTAATAGATTTGTCGCCCGCTGTCTATCACGCAGACTTTGTCGAATTCTCGGTAGATTTGCTCCCCGGCTTGGTAGAGGGTTACGATGTTAGTGGAGTGGGTTAATGTGCTTAGGATTCGGAGAGCGTGGATGTAGTCTACCGCTGTAGAACTGTCAAGCCCACGGGTGGAGTTGTCCCAGGCGTTAACGGTCGCGCGGGATGCCAGTGCCTATCACCCGAAGGGGAGCGAGAAGGTTAGTCGGTCGAGTGATGGTTTGTGACGCAAGGGTTTTAGGTATGCTTACTTCTATGATTGACACACGCTTTCGCTCACCGCCGCTTACTCCACGGATGAAGGAGTTACCGACCATTGTGTTCAGAGTGTGCTTCATTCCGAACATCTTGGCGAAGAGCTCCAACATTTGTTGGACAAAGGCGTCTCTCGACAGGCCCGGTATGCGCGTCGCTGGTGTCTTTGTGCTAAGGGCAAACTTGAGCGTTTGCTGGACGGTCAACGTGGGATGGTGTATATCCTCTTTTGCCATGAGCCACCCCACCATGAATTAGTTTCATCTCGTCAAAAGAGGGGGAAATATGGATGGGGGGGAGTAAAAGTAGGAAAAAAACCAACCTTCACTATTAAACAAGATCTCCCCCCGATACCTCCCCTCCGCCAGCTCAAAAGGCACCCCAGAGTAATGTATATCCCCTTCAATCCTCGTAAACTCCCTCTTCTGATTCGTCAACGCACGCAGAAACGTGGACGTTCCGCTCCCAGGCCTTCCTAGCACCAGGAGCATCTCACCAGGCCTGACGACCCCAGAAAAGCCCTGAATTATATATTTGACATCCCTCCCCTTCCCCCCCGACCGGTCCCAGATCTTACCAACCGCCTTCGACCCATACTCCCACCCCCGCTCCAAAATGGACTTCCCGAACAGGTTCAAAAACTCATCAAGAAATGTAGACACAACCGCATACCCGGACCCAGTCCCGCTGACGCCTAGGTTTCGGAAGGATACTCCTATCCTCTTCGGGATGATACCGGAGTTGTAGGCATCTTTGTTGCTGCGCTGGAGGTACTCCTCCAGGTCGAAACCGTGGACGTTTGCCACATCGCCTAGTTCTACGTCCTCTTCTACGTCCTCGATCTGTCGGGATGCGCGGCGGGAGGCCGCAAGTATTCTCGAAGTGGGGCGGGAGTTTGGGCGAGAGGATTGGCGGGTCGCTAGGGAGAGTTCTCTGCGGAGTCTGGGTGGGGGGGTATCGTCAGTCGGGGAAATGGAGAGGATGGAGGGAGGGAGGGAGAATCATACTCCTCAAAATCGAATAGAGCTTCGTCGATATTTATCGGTTCGTCTCCCCACCAGTTGCCGGAACCTCTCCGACTGGTGCTCGGCGTGACCTGTACGCCACTGAACCTCTTCAATTTGCTATCTTCCTCGGCCATCTTTTTATTATTATTTTCAAAGAAAGACTATAAACGAGTTCTTTTTCTTCCCTTTCTCCTCACTTTTCAAACAAATATCACCCACTCACTCAGCGACATACTCTCTGTTTTATCCTCCCCTCCAACAAACGCGCCGAGACCTCCACGCCCACAATATATCCCCTGAACCCTTCGGCACATAGCCAAAGGTGGTAAATGATCGTGGAACCAGATAACTATCCCGTGGCCAGACCTCATCACCCCGGGCTATGGGGAGGAGGAAAAACGAAAAATCACGAACAAACACCAATATCATTCCCACGGGGTAACGATTTGCATATAAACCTTGGTGGCATTTATTTGGAGTACGTATGTGGTGTGTCTCGCGGTCACATGCTTCATCGGAGATAATAAGGTACCCCTTTTTTTCAAAACGGGCCCCCGTTGCGATTTCGGGATTAGTGGCCCCCGTAAACGGTATTTGGCTGGAAGGGTTATGGAAGCGAAGTCGGTGCCTGCATGTCTTTTCATACTCGTACATGCTGTGCGTGGGCGAGCTGATGTAGGTACGGATTGTACTTGTAGATCTTGGTAGCTATTACTTGTATATACTACGAGTACAGTACTCGCGAGCATTACCGTTTACGCGCCCAAAATGTCCGTCCAGGGATAATACCCGCACAGAAATCACCTCCCCCCCCTTCCGCCGGCTGGGAGAAATTGCGCTGATGGGAACCGCTCATGAATTAAACGCGATCTTTCGAGAAACCGTGGCGTATCATCAGTCGTTATATTATATAGGCGCAGGAAGGGTTTGAGGACTGACCTAGCGAGCGCTGTACTGTACTAGTACCCTACGCACTGGAGGGCAAGTGTCATGGACGATTTGGTATCATAATGCGCTGAACGAATAATCCACCATCCTCATCGAGGTACAGTACTGTACAGTACCATATCGTACCATCCGTCCGTCAAAGCCGCGGCGGCTATGATATAATAGATGCTTGTCACTGCTCACTCACTGTATCGCGCTTAAATTTAACCCTCCACAAACCCTTCGGAAAAACCCCGTGAAAAAGCAAAAAAGAAAGGGGAAAAAAGCAAAATATCGCACCCCGCCGACCATGATACTTGATGGTAACGGCATTAGACCAACCTTTTGGAAAAGGGGGTAACTTGTACAGTACTCGAGTAGAGATCGTCTGTTTCAGGTTTATTATTATCACTATTATTATTATTTTCTTATTTTAATTTTTTCTATGGAGGTCGAGCACCGAGTAATTCCCATTCGCACTGGTATGTGTGCTGTATAGCGAGCGGCGGTGCTGTTTGGTCACTTTTGAAGGGGCGGATGAAAGGGTCTTGCAGAGGTTGGGGAGATTTGCGGCAGGGGCTTGGTCAGTGGTTCGGTGGGTGGCCAGGTCAGATCAGATCGGCATGCTGGGGTTTTTCTGTGTTGTGTGTGTGGAGGTGACAACTCGGAGTCGGAGTCTTAATGATTATTGTTTGGTGATGTTTTACATTCCATTGTTTGCTATCGCCGTTACTCTGGATCCTTGGGTTGATGGTCTGATTCTCGTGTGTTTAGACCATCGTGTAGGATTGTGTTGTAGAGCTGCGGTATTTGCCTCGTCGGACTCTCAACCGACCGTCTGTCTGAGTAGAGGAATGTGCGGCGAAAGGGGGGACTCAACTATCGTGTACTGTACATTCTAGTCTTTACACATTTACAAACCGAAGACCGAAGAGAGAGAGCGTATGACAGTATGATATGATAACTTGTTTCATTTACTTCATGAAACCCACCGCTTACCCTTAAATCCTTCCAACCCAGTTAAGCTCCTCCCACCGAGCAAGCCCTTTACCACATCCCTCGCATTCCTAACACAATCGTTCAATCCAACACCCGAATAGCTATTCCCAGCCACGCTCAGTCGTCCATCAAATCCCGTTAGCAGGTCCTCATGTGCTCTCTCCATCCGCTCATCGTGGCCGACCGTATATTGTGGGATGCAATCCTTTTGCAATGCAACATTGGTGAGTGCCGGTGTTTCTGTGATTCTCAAGTGCCGTTGCAATACTGTTCTTGCCATTTCGACGGCTTCGTGCTTGTCTGGGTAGGAGGTGCGGTCTTGCCAGTAGTGTCCACCCATCATTACTGTCACTTTGGTGCCTGGGGATGGGGTGGTGTCCGAGTCGAATATCACGCCGAGTGCTTTTTCGGGATTCTCGGAGCCCGGGACGGATTTAGGGACTAGGTAGCCGAAACCTTGGACTGGAAGGAGGTTTGGTGTTCGGTAGTAAAGGTTTACGACTAGAACTGTGACGGCTTGAACGGATGCTAAGGAGGGGGATTGCAAGGATGTTGGGAGGAGGGAATTGAGCGACGGAGCGAATAACGTCGATATTACATGGGAACAGCTGACAGGTTTGTTTGACCCTTCAGCGATCTATCGAGAGGGTTAGCGTGGGGTGTGTGAATGTTTGGAGAAACTACAGGGCTTACATTGATTGGCAACCCTTGGGGTTTGGCATAATCAATGCTACTCAACTTCGCCCCAAGCTTTATTGTAACGTTGGGGCTTTTCTCTAGATCTCTCGCCAAAGCTAAACTCAGTGTTTCGATCCCATTCCTAAACGAGTACACACTCGTCCCTTGCATCCGCGCGCAAATGCCGACGTTATCGTCGTGCAATTCCGCTCGAGTGGTCTGATCGTCTTCAGTTTCTATTACCTTGTTACTGAGGGCACTTTTCATCAGGCTTCCATGGTGCGCTTCGGCCATCCAGAACCTTGGGAACAGGGACTTCGCGCTGAGCTGATCTATGTCACCCGCATATATCCCGTGCAGCCCCGCCGACATGAGGTTGTTCGCTAGGGTCTTGTTGAAACGTCTACTGATGAAGCTACCCACCGATTCATCCGTTAGATCCGCCGGTCGGCGCTTTCTGAAGGGCTCAGCAAGGATACCAGTGAAGATCCCTTTCATGACTGGCAGGTTTGGACTCAGCAATAGTGAGAGTAGACCACTCGGAAGCTGGTTTAGGCGATCGGGAAAGTAGATGAATCTGTTTTTAGCTGCCGGGGTGTTTTTCGAGATGAGTACTAAGTCCTTTTCCAAATCCAGCTGCCGGATCTACCCTGCCGTAAGCGATTTGCATTGAAGCCGGAATGTTATTCAATTGGAAGGCAATCGCGGAGAAGGAAAAGGCATCTATCACGAACATACCATATCTATTGTGGCCAATCCAGAAACGGTCCAAGGGCGAATTGTTCGAGGACCCTGTTCAAACTGGATAGTTCCATCCTCGGATTCGACTCGCTTAGTGTTAAGCCATCCCCCGAGCCTATCGAGCTTCTCATACAGCTTAACGGGAACAGAAGGAGCAAGCTTGGAGAGGTACCAAGCAGTAGATAGACCGGTAATTCCTCCACCTAGAGAGAGAAACCAATAGAAGGAAGAAAAAAAAACGTCAGCCTCCCCTTGTCACTGGGTACACGTGCAGGAGGTGTAGAGTGAACCGAGAACTGCGACTGATTCGATTGTGCTGGTCGGCGTGGCGCGATGTAGATACCGTTGGGAGGTTCGGCGATGGCTATGCGTAGTTCGCGAGAGACAAACGGAGGAAGCGGGAGAGAGAGAGGAGAGCATGAGCAAGCGGTGTCTCTGTGGGTTCACCATTTGATGCATGATGGAAATGGCTTATCCGATACGGGTACTTTGTCGACGGGTATGGCGAATTCAATTGAGTTGAGTAGGGGAATAATGGTGGGAAAGGAGAGATGAAAGCTGTGTTGGTTGGTCGTGGTTGTGCAAAATGAAGTGGCCTTTGTACGAGTAAGCGGCTCTCCGAGGACGGTACGAGTACAAGTGGTTTGCAGGGGAAAAACAAAGGCTGGTAGGTAATGTTCCACCTCCACCCAATTTACCGGTATTCCACTCTCACAGAGAATAAGGGCTGAAACTACAAGTGCGAGCACATTGTATGATACTGCTACGAGTACTGTACAAGTACGTTCGTTTGCGTGTCAATGCAAGATTCTGTCATGCCTGTAGCGTCAGTCACAAGGAAGTATCACCCACTTTACTCGAGTAAAAGGTCTGCTCCCCACCAAGATATGACTTTTCGCGATTTTTAAGAGCTGACATTATGCACCTCTATCAGGGGTCGCTCTTAAACTAACAAGAGCAGAGCGAGTCGTACTGTACTGTACTCGTACTCGCATTTGCAGGGCGAAATGTTACACAACAAGGATGCCCTTAGACAATCCAAAAAAACAGGTGCTAAAGGCTCGAGAACCCCAAAATGGTAGTTCGGCCTTTGGAATATGGCCGGGTTGGGCGTCTTGGCATGATTATTTAGTATTTCGGGGAGGTTAGACTCGCACGATGATGCGCGCAGTCGACTGCCAGAACATGATCCGGGGGTGTGGGTAGAGTAAGACACGGCACTGCACTCGAGTAGCTTGTTGTGTTGGTCAGCACTCGAGTGGTCCATCGCTTCTCGCAAAGCACCCAACATCCAACATTGATGTCACTTTCGGGACAGCTAGAAGCAAGCCTCTCGCAACAACAAGGCGGTCAAGCGGAAGCAGGAACTCCCAAAACCGCAGCATATCAATTGATAGCCAATTGATAGCAAGGTATCCGCCATATACTCCGCTCCTGAGGGGGACCCGCAGATTGATAGTTGCTCCAGCGCAACGGTTGTCCGAAATATGCATTCCGCTGTTCCGAACACATAGGGTAGTGCCGTGCATTGCTTTCATTGGTGCGGGAGCGAGCCACCACTGTTAAACCATCGTGGTCTTCAGGAGCTGACTTTGGTGAGATCATGGCACTTGCCGTACTCACTGGTTCAAATACAAGGTATTCGATTTCATTACCGCGCTTAACGCTTCCTCGGAGGTAGAAAGCATGCTGTGTGCTGTACAAATCTGCACAGGTAATCAGATCTTATTCCGTGCAATAGTACAAGTAGTATCATACTGCTCATGCCACGCTATAAGGTGTTGTACTAGTACCGTACTTTACCAGGGACGGGGGGAATCAACCCTCTACTTCCGGTACCGGTACTTGACAACAACCTCCGAATCCGCCCAATGAACAATCTGGAAGGGCTGCAAGTGAGATAGATATATTTGGCAGAATAACAAGTAAATTTACCTTAGTTGTGATATTCCATGTCAATTTCTAGAGTCGTGAGCATTAGTTTCTCCGCATTGGGGTGCATTCATTCTTCTCAGTGTTCTCGTGAGGCAGATCCTAATCACTCAGCGCTGCAGTACCGCAAACTGTATCGTGCCCGTACATACAGTGCCCCAACCCTCAAATTGGCGAATAACGACTCTCATATCGAGGGAAAATGAAAAAGTGCGATATCTCTCCTTCCTTCTCTCCCCTTGGCCCGTGCTGTACGAACTGTGGGGCCAGAGTGGATAGTCCATCATAAATTCAACCCCACCGCATATACTTGTACCCTCTCTATTAATTCCCAACCGGATCCGAGTACTGTACTGTACCACGTTCGCATGCAAACACTCGCGAGGAAACGAGAGAGAAAATCACATACCGTACGTAGCCGATCACCCTGCCCCCCGGTGAATGTGTGGAGCACCACTTTTCCACTCGAGCACCCCCGTCTATGGTGGGGGGGTTGTCGTTGGCATTCACTCGCTCGTGCTCAGCTCGGTTATATGACCGAAATGTGGAGAGAGTAGGGGAGGGAGTTCTTGCTGTCTATCATGGTGAAACTGATGCAGAATATCATACTCGAGTGCTCGTGCTCGAGTAGTGTCGAAGCGTTTTTGGGAGGACTGCTATTGCTTACCACTAAAATTGGCCCTTTTCCTTGCTTGGGTCTGGGTGGTTGGTTGTATCCATAGCGAAAATGCTACGATGCTATTATACGGTGTGTGATCATGCTGTTATGATAAGCTTTGCAAATTCATAACCCTTTCCTGTGTACAGTACCAGACTGTAGGATACGGTTATTGTCCCTCGGGCACTACAGAACTGTTCCATCGTGAGTCGTGACAATACTGCGTAGTAAGAGCGTAGTGCTTGCTTGAATCCCCCCGTAAGATTCACCGGGCCATCATTTCGATCCTTGATAGCAGCCTGATACTCCCCGTTCGATCTCGTCCGTCTACACGGTACAGTACTGTACTAGTACTTTGCTACTATGTTCATGTTATTCACTACCCGGTATCGTCGGAAAAGTAGGAAGTGTCACCATCAAGCGATTGTAACACAACTGCAGGCCTCCCGCAAGTTTTTCTTTTTCCTTTTCTTTTCTCCTTCTGCACACCTACCGCACCGGGGCTCGAGTACGGTACTGTACTCTATTGTCTTACCGTACCGTACTTGCACTTGAACAGCATACCTGTACGAGCATTGTACTGCAGCAACAGGCCAACAAAACCCCGGTTTCACCAAAAAAAAGAAGAAAAAAGGAAAAAGGAAAGAAAAAGCAACCCATGAACAAGCGGGAGCTGCCGGACCGTAGCTAGCTATCAAGGTGAGATAAATTGAAACTATATAGAGAGGCCTTGAACGCACCCCCCTCCCTCCCTCCCTCTCCACCGGAAACCCAACATTGCCGGAGCGATACAATAACCCCCCACCTACATAAAAATGGACCCAACAGCAGTAACAAAATGGCTCGACAGCGTGTACATTCCCTTTCCCATCTCCCAATCCCCCCCATTACCCCGACTAACGGAACCAGCATGGGGGCATCAAACGTCATAGGCGCCCTACTAATCGATTCACAAACCGGGCTTTGTCTTGGAGGTTTGTTTGCTTGCTGGTTTGTTTGTTCCCCCATGCGCGGGTTACGGGGAGTTAACGCTTTGTATGATGCGTGGTGCGAAAGCGCGAGGGAAGGCTACCGAGGATGATGCTATCTATATTACAGTTGCCTCGCGGGCTGCTCTGGATGTGATGGGGGTTGGGGCTGTTGCTTATAAAGATAGGTACGGTTGCCTTTTCTGGGGGAGGAGGGAGGAGGAGGGAAGCTAATTGAAGGTGTTGGGGGAGGCTTTAGTAAAGTAATTCTACGGAAGGGCGGTAGCGGTGTTTTGGTTGCGGTTTATAAGGAGAAGGATTCGTTGGGGGAGTCGCCGGATGAGATGTGAGGTGTTGGTTTTCCGTCCGCTTGTCGTCCGGGGAATTGCTTTCTTTCCCCCTCTTTCTGTCCGTCTACTCGAGCTCGTATGGTGTCTACTTGGGGTACCCTCTTGAAGTAGGGATTTTTTCTTCCCCTTGCAAACATGTCTTGTTAAGAGGTGTTTTGTTTTACGATTATTCCCAAAGCTTCTATGCAAGTGCTCCCTCTCATAAAACCATACATCGATTTTCCTTTTTCTCCTCACGCGCCGTTTTTCTCCGGGTCCGAAGCCTTTCACTCCCAGAACTACACTTCTCTCTTCCCCTCTTCCTAGTCTTCAACTTGTTCACTTCTGAAGAGGCCAGCCCACCAAGTACCGAGGGCGATCATCACGGTGAAGAGCACCCAGATCGCAACTCCTATCTCGATCAGGACGAGGATGATCCACAAGATACCTTGACTCTCGCCGCCCTCTCCACCATCGCCGACGCCCGCTGCTTCCCCATCTCAGCCATCGCTTCTCCAGAGGGGGCACTTGTGCAGGGGAAAGTGGTGCACTACCGTAACTCGTTTGCAACCCCCTCCTCCCAATCCTCACCAACTCCCCGGGATCCGCTTCCTGGATGTACCCATCCGATGGGGTGATCCCCCACCAGTAGTTTCGATAGGGGTGGACCAGCTGTGCCCACTGGAGCTGCAAGAAATCCTGAAATCCCATGCCAGTGTTTGCTCGTCTAGAGCGGGGGGGTTGACCGTGGTTTCGGGGGTTACCACTAACGAGCGCGGACTAAGCGGCCCGGTGGTGGGTGTAGTTTCGTCACATTGGCCTTTTCCCCTGTTTCAGTTACGGGGTTTTTTTTTTTAGACATTGCAGGGAAAAACAGGTACGGTAGGAGTTAGCGACGAGTGATGTTCCATGATAGCTAGTGTTCTCTTTACGGGAGAAGAATTCAGTATTTCGACATCGCCGGATCCCAGTGTAAATATTGGAGTTTAGAGGGGTTTCCCTGTCGATTTCTTGGTGTCACTGGACCCCGCTATTCCTCCACCATACCGGTAGACTACCCCGCCGCCCCGGCTGCCGTGCTCAAATGTTCCCCCTCATACCATACCTCTGATCGTTCTATGTGCTCGTACCCCTTGCTTCTGGAGATCTAACTGCCGCTGTGGTACAAGATCCACCTCCTGCATTGGTCTACCGGTAGGGGAAAGGGAAAAGAAAGGAATGGGAGGCTAAACATTTTTTTGCTTTTCGTGCAGCGGGGTTTCACCCACTCGGTCCGAGCCATTGATGTTTTATGCCTTCGGCTGGCGAACCCATAGTGGGCGCGCTGGCGAACCTTTTTTGTTCCACGCATTACCACTCAACAATCGGGCGGTAAACTACGGTACCAGTTTTCTTGCAATAGGAAGTCTAAGAATATTTTCCCGGCTTGATGACCATGTGATAAATTTATCTATTGTATTATGAGGTGGTGGGGTATGGTATAGTACCGGTATGGTGTCGCATCGGTATCCGTGGGATGGAAAGGTACAAGTAGAGCACTGTACTGTACACACTCGAGGGGAGTGGCGATACTTTGAATGTGCAGTATCCTACTTGCCACATGGGGGGGGGGTATACTCGGGTGCCTCTTCCACCGTGCTCGAAATGCCGGTACCGTGGTCTGCCCCGATTATTGGAAGTGTGCTGTCAATGGCATGGCTCCTGGCCGAGTTGAGGCTTAGACATTGTAGTTTGAGCTGTTTGTCATTTCAAAACACTTTTTTTGAGATGATATTAGTGTTTTGGCATACCGTCATTTGCGTGCAAAAAAGCACGTTTTTTCCATTTATGTTAAAACGTGTTACTGATAGTTAAGACACACCGCAAACATAACTTGGTAAATAGCTGCTTGGCGAGTTTTGAAATGAACGGTTCTAGTGACGGTATGATACCCCGAACAGCCTCTAACCTCGCCGACAAGTATCCTGAGTTTCCCTCAGCGGTGATAGCGGTACACTACCTGTGAGAGTACTGGTAATTATTAGCCAGCCGTACGTAGCCTCTTCCATTTGTGGTTGGGAGGGTGCGAGGCTTCACGTTCAGAGCGGCTAGTTGAAGTGCGACAAACATGGAATCTCGCACTGGTTATTCACAACGTGAGGGAGCCCGAGAAAATTCAGAGATCCAAGACATGGGGGGAAAATATGGTATCGTGGTTTTTATAACGCCATGAAGTGTGGAAGGCGGTGCTGGTTCGTGGTGGTCCTTGCTTGAGGTTGCCGTTGGGACGGGAACAAAAACTGTTTTTTCGTATCACTCGCTTTCTGTTTGGCAGGATGGGTTTCGGTTGGGTTGCGCATTGTAGTACTCTTTTGTAGCTGCACCGTATGGTGCTAACATCCGAGTGGGTAAATGTCTCAAGTTAATAATGGTGAGTTGTGTTGTCCAAAGTATCGTATTATAATTCTCACGGCAAGAACTTTGTGGTGCCGTACAGGGCGGAGAGTGGCTTGGGACGTTTCACCACCCTTTTCTCTTGAATCGCAATACGCATCAAGTTATGCATGCAACTGAGGCCGTTAGGATTAATTTGGGATCGATTTGGCCTTATTCATTGATTGGTTCTGGCTTACGGCTTAGCTTGGTGATCATGGACGAATTTCGCATGGTGATACAAGGGTGCAAACAACCTTAAATATGAGGTAGGCTTTTCTCAACGTGAGCCTTTTTTGCTATTCCTCGGTTATATAACCGAGAGGTATCACAGGCGGTTGCGTGGGACAATCGATTTAGCAGGTATCTATGTGAGATATAACTCAAATTGTCGTAGTACTCTGATTGAGCCTTGATGGCTCACTTGTGAGTTCTGAATGTGCTTTCGATATGAGGCTGTCATGGGGAATATAGCAAGCGCTAATATAGTATATCACCCCATGATATCCCTCTCTCAGAGCATACAGAAGAGGTGGGGTGTAGTTCTCCTCCCACCCGCTGTGCTGCCGGTAGAGGATTTCGTTGGATACTGAATCGAGTCCTCGCTTCTCTGAGACCTATTGTATCTGTAGCATCCTATTGATATAGTAATTGGGACCGAATCACCGCAGACGGAGACCGGGTTCTGATATGAGATGTCCATGTTGGTTGTTAATTGCCGAGAGGGCAATCCCATAGATATCCATCTTAGCGTCACCGGGCCCACGACC